GACTGATATAATTAAAAGTCATTCAATCAAGGATGATCATCATTTCCAAGCCGTCAATCATTAACAACTTGCCTACCAGGTCAATTCTGACACTTCTCACATACATGTAAAAATCTACATTTGTTTGCAAGAATATTACTTAGAACCCCCAAACATTATATTTTTTTGCAGAGGCCCTAGAGAATAAAATGATGGGTGTTGCAATTTTTTTTTATGCCACACAGCATTTGCTTAGTGGTTTTTCAAACACAATTAAAAAAAATTAAAAATACATTTTAATAATTTTATTGCATTGCAACACCATATAATATCGAATTTTTTGGTAAAATATAAAACATGATGTTATGCTGAGTAAATAAATACCTAACATGTCACACTTTAAAATAGTGTACACCCATGGAATGGCACCAAACGATGGTGCTTAAAAATCTCTACAGGTGATGCTTTGGGTTCCGTTCACACCAATGCGTTTTTTAGTGCTTTTTTGCTTTTTGTAGAAAAGCACTACAGTCCATATAACATGGTTTCCTATGGAACATGTTCACATCTATGCTTTTTTCAGCTACTGCATTTTTGGAAAGGGTCAGGGACTTTTTTAAAAGCAATAAGCAGCGTTTTTGCTACAACAATCAATGAAGTTCAATGGAGGAGCTGCTGAAATGCATAGTAGTGCATACTTGCTGCCTTTTGCAATTTTATTCTGCTCAACAACAAAAAAAATTCCACTTTAACAAAAAACAAAATAGCTGAACAATACGTAAAGTGCGGTAAAAATGCAAATGAACTGCGAAAAGCACAGTAAACTGGAGAAAAAGCAAACTGCATAGGTGTGAATTGAGCCTTAAACACCTTTACAGGTTAGAGTACACAAGAGGTCCGGTGCTAGATCTCTGCAGTTCCTGTTATGGGGTGACTTACCAGATCTGGGATCAGGTCCTTGGACTCCAAGGGTTTAGCATACAGTTGCCACCTCATCCCTTTAAAATTGAACACATATTAATTACACAGGTTCTGAGGATAATTTAATGCAGATAAGGCTCTAAGTGCGTTTAATTACCACCTTAACCCCTTTGCGCCGGCGCCTCCAGGCCCTTTAAGAGTTTTAGAAGCCAAGAGGCAGGTGGGGTTTTAGGGTCATGTGACCGCCGTGATTCGCTGTCACGGCGGTCACATGAACGGAAATGGTCCCTATCGCAAGGGGAGATCGGAACCTTTTCGTGAGTCACGGACATATGTTCTGAGAGCGCACAGGGTGTGCACTCTCAGCACATATGTATTTTCTAATGGCACGCAAATATGCGGCTGCTCGGCGTCTAGGGGTTAATCAGCCACAGAACCTGTGTAATTAATATGTGTTTGGTTTTAAAGGGATGAGATGGCAACCCTAGACTTTAGCACAACGAGTGCAAGTAAGGAAAATAGTAAAAATATCAGTGCTGTCCTGGTCATGGCAACATCTAGAAGCAGACAAATAATAGTTTTTGTATAAATTGTGCCATTAAAATGACAAAGTTTTGACCATTTTTGGGATGTCTTAAAAATAAATGGTATGCATAATAAATTCAATTTAAGGCCCCTTTCACACAAGCGGACCAATGAGGTCCGCCTGTCAGTTTTTCAGGTGGCACAACCATCCATAGACTTCTATGGACCATTGGGTGTCAGCGGACAATAGTCTTCCCCATCTGTCCATCTGACCAGATCGGATGAGATGACAATCAGGTGGAAACAGACAGGCCGTCCATTTCCACCTGACCGTCCTGCAGTGTCTGTGTCCGCTCTGTACCAGCAGAGACCTGTCATCCGCCTGCTCAGTGGGAATCAGCAGAAAGATCCCTCGCTGAGCAGGCGGATCACGCTGGCGGATCTGCCCCATCTGAAAGGAGCCTTGGTGGTATTATCTAGTATGTATTTAACAATTAAACTATTGTTATGAGGAAAAAATGTAACATTATTAAAACGCATTTCATTGGTGTCTCAGATTGTATGAATGCCATGGATACATTTCTTTAAAATAGGAAGATGACAACCTGCATAGAGAATGTAGCAATGTCATCATTCTAAATAGTTTTTTTTCTGTTACTTAAGCGATTGGGTTTTGAGTTTGATTGTATGATCTGTAATTTTATTTTTCGGAAATGTTGTTTATTTGTCTTCTGTCAATTTATTTATCTTCCTAAAGTACAACTACAGGCAAAACCTTTTTTCTCATTTTGCATAGAAAAAAGGAGGGTTATGACCTCTGTCATGTTTTTTTTTTGTTATCTGTGCACCCAGTGGGGATATTTCCTTTCACTTCCTGTCCCATAGCCAAAACAGGAAGTAAGAGGAAATCCCTCCAAAGTGAAGGAATCACTGGTTGTCATCAGGGTCACCAGAATTAGTGTCCCCATTGAAAGATTTCTCCTCTATTTCTGTTCTGAGGACAACCCTCTGTGTGTTGCGATTGATTTGTTTCTAGCGCATTTTGCATTTTTGAACACGCCTTTTTGATTAATTTCTGATGCATTTACACTTTTTTTGCCAATAGGAAAGTGCTGCCTTTGATGCAACTTTGATATGACTTTGGATGGGGTGCAACATTGAATGGGTGTGACCTGGATGAGACTTTGATGCGTTTTTGGATGGGTGTGACTTTAATGTAACTTTGGATGGGTGTGACTTGGGTGTGACTTGGATGCAACTTTCATGCAACTTTGGATGGGTGTGACCAGGGGCCAACTCGACAACTCATCGGGCCCCCGGGCAATAGGGGATCATGGGGCCCCTGTGTCCTTGCCCAGACTCAAAAAAGCCTATGTAAAAGGCACCAGGGGCATCTCATGGGGCCCCCTACTGACCCTGGGCCCTCGGGCAGTGCCCGAGTTTCCAAATGGTCAGTCCGCCCCTGTGTGTGACTTGGATGCAACTTTGATGCCACTTTGGTTGAGTGTGACTTTGATGCAACTTTGGATGGGTTCGACTTGGATGCTGCTTTGATGCAACTGTGGTGCAACTTTGGATGGGTGTGGCTTGGATGCAACATTGATACAAATTTGGTTGCAACTTTGGATGGCTTTGACTTGGATGCGGCTTTGATGCAACTTTGGGTGGGTGTGACTTGGATGCAACATTGATACAAATTTGGATGGGTGTGACTTGGATGCGACTTTGGATGGGTTTGACTTGGATGTGGGTTTGATGCAACTTTGGGTGTGACTTGGTTGCGATTTTGATGCACCTTTGGATGGATTCGACTTGGATGTGACTTTGATGCTACTTGAGTGCCAGAGAGTGTAAAGTCGCATCAACATTGCTTCAAAGTCACATTACATAAACACAAATGTCATACTTTCCTATTAGCTAAAACAATTCTCATCCAAGTCACACCCATCCAAAGTTGCATAAAAGTTGCATCAAAGTGGCAGCAAAGTCAATACTTTCCTATTGGGAAAAAAAAGCAAAACACATAAAAATCACAACACTTGTGTTTATGGTGCAGTTTCATTGAAGTCTATTGCACAAAAAACGCAATCTGCTGAAGGAGAAAAAGTCCATGACCCTTTCCAAAAAAAAAAAACGGACCAGCTCAAAACACACAGATGTGAACTAGATCCATATGGATATAATGTTAAATGGACTGTAGTACATTTCCGCAAATTGGAAAACGCACTGAAAAATGCTTAAGTGAGGCTCATAAGGAGAATGCATCTCCCTAATGTAGAGCATGAGCAGCATATCAAACCTGACAGGTGTTCTAATCACTTTCCACTATATCCGATTAAAACAAAAATAAAGTTGACTACATTTGTACTTTAAATTGAAGATGCAAACTGAAACTGTGTTGTGGTTTTCTCTGAGTTTCTAACACCAATTCAGAGTGTTGTTTTATTATTACAATAGTTATTATTGCAACTGCTGAATTTCTAGTGACAGCATTTATCATGAAGATACTAGATCAGACTCTCGAAGGGCTCTTTCACACGAACGTTCCAATCGGGTCCGCTTGCCCATTTTTTAGGCGGACCCCATCGGAACCTCCATTCTCCTCTATGGAGCAATGAATTAATGGACATGTGTCCATTTACACTTGCTGACATCCAGACAGATCTGATACGCCAAAAAGGGATGGATGGGGATCCAATTCCCCTTCCATCTGTCGGATCGGATGAAAACAGACAGGCAGTCTGTTTTCATCCGACCACCCATTGAGGAGAGCGAGCAGAGCGATGTCTGCCCTGTCATCTGTTTGCTCAGTGCTGATCAGCAGAGAGATCCTCCACTGAGCAAGTGGATCCGCTAAATGGGTCCGTCCCGTCTGAAAGAGCCCTTAAACGTTTTGTCCTGGAAAAAATTTTCCAGCTGTCAGGATACCCCTTGCTAAAATGAATTAAATTACAGGTATAAATTAAAGAAGAGAATTTGACACCCACGGCAGGTAATTTCATTAACATCCCCATTTTCTATATGACATTATTTTCAGGAATAATCATAAAGTCCATTTCCACTTTTGCTAATTGGGATAGCACCTAATGTTATCATTCACATAGCACAACTATAAAAAAAAAGATGCTTAGCTTTTTCATTTCTGTCACATTTTACACCTAAACTACATTTTAGTTGGGGAGGAACCCAGAAATACATAATTACCCCCGTCTGTACTGTGCTGTTAGATCTTCATTATCAGTTTTACACTAGATTTGAACATAGCCAATCCTAGGGTTAAAGAATTCAAAGTTGGCCCCCTACACTGTATGGTAATGAGGGACAGCTCAAAGTGTCCCCAGGCAGTGTGGGAACAAAGACAATGAGATTATAATTTATTACAGATTTGTACATAGCACCAATAATTTACATCTATACAGGGCCAGAACTAGACTATTTTGTACCCTAGGCAAGACCAGATGCATATCCCCCCCCCAAAAAAAGAAAAAAAAAATTACATTTTTAAAAACAGTTGAAAATAATAAAACAACAAAACATGAAACTGCTAAATTTCTTTAAATTTGTAAAAAAAATAAGTGCCATATAATGCTATCAGCACCAATATTAAAGACAAAATCAGTGTCACGGACGGACTGTATCTGTGGCTGGCAGTGGCAAGGTGATAGTTGCAGTGAGTGAAGGATGATGGATCCACACTCTGACAGATCCTAGGCTGGAATTCCCCAGGCAATGAGGAGAGATAAAATGCTGTGACAGCAGGCAGCTCAGCCCACACACACACACACAGAAAACACCTGAACTGAGTGATCCCACACAGTGACAGATCTGACACAACACACCACCACCAACACTGACACAGATTAGCAGGCCCAGCAAGCACTAGAAGAGCAGGCATTGGGATTTTGTTAATATCATCACTCACTGACATTGCACATGTAATGGATGGCCGGATGGCTGGCTGGCCGTATCACTCTCACACAGACACGAGACATCAGAGTCAGACATTACCTTTCTCCGCAGGGTAAGAAGAGAAGGGTGGTATTCCACAGTGATTAGCAGCTGCCAACCAGCTTGCAGTAAGGGACTGAGTCTGAGAGGAACACTGGAAGGAGCAGCAGCACAGCTGCTACACTGTGCCCACCCGGCATCTTCCTCTGTCCTTTATTACTCCCCTCCCCTCAGCTGAAGGATCATTCATGATGGGAGACATCCCACACACAGAGAGTGCTAGCCTGGGCTGTGCCCAGGCACCCCTAGGTAGCAGTGAGCCCTAGGCAGCTGCCTAGTTTGCCTAGTGTAAGCACCAGCCCTGCATATATATTGTACATTCACATCAGTCCCTGCCCTAAAGGAACAATCTAAAGTCTAAAGTCCTTAATTCATTAGTCCATTCATACATACACATACTAGAGCCAATTAACCTACCAGCATGTCTTTGGAGTGTGGAAATAAACCAGAGCACCCAGAGAAAACCCATGCATGCACAAACTCCATGCAAGTAGTTCCATGATTGGGATCTGAATGAACAGGACTATTGCAGACAGGCAGAAATGCTAACCACTTAGCCACTGTGCTTACTTACCTAAGGTATGCTGTATGAATGGGTTCTATAATCAAAAAATATAACAAGGCACATGAAAAATGCAGTCCATATAGTTTTTATAGAATAAAACGGGTATGAAATCCAAAGGCGGTGGGGAGAGCGAACAGTCTGAGTACCAGAGCAAGCTGTAGTAGAGTGGAGCACACTGGAAAGGAAGGGGAGCGCCAGTGATCCACTGTGGAGTCTGGACCATCGGCGTCTGACATCATAGGAGTGCGATGCATTTCTGAGCATGCGCAGGGTCCGATGTAGACTGGCGCACTCCTTCATCAAGCATCTGCCGTATGAATGGGAACACATAACAAATAGTGGGGTTTTGATTGCAAAAATGGAAATACACTTTAAACTAAAACAAATAATAACAGAAAAGAAATGCAGATAATAAAAATTGTGGCATACCCTTTACAGGGAAACCCTAGCAAGCTTAAAGCAGAATTTTACCCATAACAACTTGGTAAAAAATAATGTTCTTTAGCAAGGAGCACACATTCCACATTAAATATAATTATATTACCAAATAATCCTAGGTTCACATCTGTGTGGGTGGTGCCGCTGCAGATCCGCACGAAAAATACGTACAGCCGCACCACCCGCACAGAGAAATGCGGACCAGCGGGTGGGTGCCATTACTTCTAAAGGGCCGTCGCCCACACCGTGCGTGCTGCATTTTCCAAAAAAGTGTAGGGACTTCTTCCCTGTGTGTCACGGGCATGGGAGTCCATTCAAATGAATGGGCTCTCGTGCCTGTGCAAAACGTGGCCCGCACGACCGCATATATGTGAACCAGGGGGTTAATGTGTGCTGTAAATTGCCTCCAGTAATACCAGTTTCTTCTTGCAGGAGGCTGCTATTTTGCTGAAGACCAGAGCCCTGAGCACAAGTAAATCTTTAGGCTGTCAGCAGATCACCTCTTTAATTTTTTGGCAGTGTCGAAACATAGAGAGCAAGTGAGCATATGACAGAGTGTATTACTGGATGTTAAACAGTATAGGCACTGATTTTTAATGTTTTACATAGCTACACCTGCAAAAAGGACCAGCGTGAAGCGCTCTACAGGTCTTCATTTGTCTGAATTTGTCTAAACTTTATGAAAAAAAAAATTCTATGGTTCTATAGAACCCTACTTGGGAAAAGCAACGCTAGATACGGCCAAAACGTACATTTACAGTGATGATTTATTTAGTGGTGAAGACCCAATACTTTTGGTTCCTGCACACTGGTGCATTACTTTAACTGACAATTGCGCGGTCATGCAACGCTGCACCCAAATGAAATTTATGTTCTTTTTTCTCACAAATAGAGCTTTATTTTGGTGGTATTTGATCGCCTGTGTGTGGTATTTGATCACCTGTGCGTTTTTAATTTTTTGCGCTATAAACAAAAAAAAGACCGACAATTTTGAGATAAAAACTTTTTTGACTTTTTGCTATTAAACGTGTCCAGTAAAAAAATTAAAAAAATCAAATTTCAGCATAAATTTAGGCCAAAATGTATTCTGCTACATGTCTTTGCTAAAAAAAAATCCCAATACGTGTAAATTAATTGGCTTATGAGAAAGTTTATAGCGTTTACAAAGGGCGGTATATATACTGGATTTTTGTTTTTTAGTAATGGCGGTAGTCAGCAACTTATAGCGAGACTGCGGAGGGCATTCTGACACTGGGGGGAACTGACTTGGTACCACTGACATCTCCAGTGACTCCAATACAGTGATCAGTGCTGATAAAAAGCACTGACACTGTACTAATGGCACTGGGCAGGAAGTGGTTAACATGAGGGGCAGTCAAAGGGTTAACTGTGTGCTGTTTCACTGTGTGCTGTGTGTGCTTTACACTGTAAGCGCACTGCTTTGTATCGCTCTGCTATGTAGAGCCATACAAAAACAGCGTGCAGGAGGAGAGATCTCTGTTGTTTATACACAGGTCTCTCCCCCCATCGGTATTACTCGACAATCACCAGGTGCCAGTGAGGAATCACCAGCTGGGACCCAGTGATTGATAGTTGAGGCCACAAACGGCGGCGCGGATAGGGTACGCATAGCTTCCCTTACCAGGAACTGCAAAATCACGTATATACTGTATACATGATTTTGCGCACCTGTACTGTCCTGTAGCAGTATTTATACTATAGGATGGCGTGGAAGCAGTTAAAACTTTTGTGGCCATACTTCTCAAGTGGGTCACAGGAATGTACTTATTTCTGCACTCCTGTGACCCAGATTACTGACTGACAGCAGGCTCAGCCTGTGTCACTGAGAGCTAAAGTCTCAAACCCTCTGCACAGACCAGCACACCAATGAGCTCTGGAAGGGCAGAACAGAGAGCCGATGACTGATAGTCACCAATCTACTCAGTGAAGACCAAGAACTGAGTGATCAGCCAGCAAGGGACAGCGTAGAGTCTATGACTAAACTAAGTGGTGATGGTGCCTATTGAAAACTATCCAATTCTGTTTATTTTCCATCGTATAATGGAAGCTGACAACTCAGACAGTTTGATAAATGTGTTGCAAAGATCTAATTTACACATAACTTCTGCAAAAAAAATTATCAGGAAAGCCCATGTCTTTTATTTCAGATCTCTATCAGGTTTAAACTTATGAAATGGAGTTTTCACTTATCCAATGAACTGAGTTACTTTACACAGTCATAGCTGATATATGTAGCTGTATGAAAGACACTTGTGGTAGGATATGAAAATCCATTGAGAAGTCTGTAGCACACTCATACTGTCCAGCTCAAAACTTCTCTCATCTTTCTTGAATCACTATTCCTTTTTTGTTGTACTTTTGTTGCTGTAATTATAAAAACTGGAGTTTTTTTAGAAGGAAATTCATTTGTTATTTTGGAATGGGAAAATCCTTAAAGCGGACTTATAATGAAAAAAATGAACATATATGAATTGCATAGGGGAAAGTTAAGTCAAAAGGAATAAAGCCTTGCCTTACAAGAAAAATGATGTTTGCTCTCATGCCATGTTTATGTACCTAATACAGTGAGTCCAATGTCCCTAGAAAGGCCTCTTTTGCACAAGAGATCAGGCCTGACATCAGGCCTGAGACTTCTGGACATGGCCATCGTGGACGTGAGGGCAATGGCTTCAACAGACACTATCGGAGTCATCACAAGGAAGCGCTTGAATTCCCCCCGCAGAAACAAGTGATTACACTAGGTCCTGCACATTTTCTCTTTTTTTTTTAACTTTTAAGTTAAAAAAAATAGTTATAATAAGGGAAGGATAACAATGAAAATTGTTTCTCTAAAAAAATAATCTGATTACCTTAGTGGGGTCATGATGGCAGTTTTTTATTTCAACCATTTCCTGTCCTTTAGACACAACAGTGAATGGGCCCTATCAGACAGTGGTCACAGAGAACAAGTGTCCCCATTAAAGCGGAGTTCCACTCAACCTATCAAAAAATAAAAGTCAGCAGCTACAAAAACTGTAGCTGCTGACTTTTAAAAAACAGCCACTTACCTGTCCATCAGTCCTGTGGTGTGTCCCCTGCAGCTCGTTTCACCAGCCGTCCTGTGTTCCAGGAGGCCGGCATCTTCAGTGTGGGAACCCAGCTGTGACAGCTTGCGGCTTCACAGCTGGGTACCAACTGCGCATGCGCGAGTAGCGCTGCGCTTCGTGAGTGATCCTGTAGTCTTCTGGGACCTGTCACGTGTCCAAAAGACTACAGGGAGGGAGGACACCTTCCGCTTCTGATCGCCTAGGCGATCGGACCAGAAGTGGGAGCGGGTACCTGTCAAATTCGGGTACCCACTCCCCAAAGATGCCAATTCTTAATAGGGAGCGGGGGAGCAGTCCTTAAAGTGGAACGTCCTCTTTTGGGTGGAGCTACGCTTTAAGAAGATTTTCCTTCTATTTCTTTTCTGGTGACAACTGTTAGGTTTTGAATTTCCAATCACTATCTGTCCTCTTCTCAAGAGAGAATACATTCAGTTCCTCTAATCTTTCCTCATAGCTAAGCTCCTCCATGCCTCTTATCAGTTTGGCTGCCCTTCTCTGTACTTTCTCCAGTTCCCCAATGTTCTTTTTGTGAATCGGTGCCCAAAACTGAACTGCATATTCCAGATGAGATATTACTAATGACTTGTAAATGGGTAGAATGATGTCTCTCTCTCTCTGGAGTCTATACCTCTTTTAATAAAAGAGTGTTGGAATGTTGGATCAGGTCACAGTGCCCAAGTTAGAGAAGGAGGAGTCTGCTGATCATCAGTCTTGCCACACTGCCCAGTGAGCCAATCTGCAAGTAGGAAATGCAGAATCAGGACTGGAGAGTCTGAGGGGGCCCCCATCTGCAGGGAAAGACCTGCCGGACACCATTAATAGGATGAGAGAGTCCCATACACCTACTAACTGAGAGAACTTTGACAATTTTATCACACCTACTATCTACCTGCACATTGTTACGGACATTACACTTAGTTACCCTTGTTTGTGGCCTAGTTCTCCCAGCCACCACCGTTGGAACATATTTGCATTACAGTCTCATCATCCAAGCTGACCGCAAGACACACAGCTGCAGGCCAGAGTACAGCAGTGCCAACTGAAACAGCAATTTACCCTTCACAGTTGAACAGGATTCCTACTCCTGTTGCCTGTGACCCTTGTCACCCAGAGAGAGAGCTGTTCTTTCCTACAGACATGTATGGCAACTGTTACACTTTACTGCTTCAAATCTGTCCTTTTTTAATGCCTTAAAGGGGACCTTACATCAGTTCACCACCATTAAGTGGAGAAGTACTTATTAACTATCATCTACATCTTAGATCATCTTCACACCAATTGGGCCCCAACTAGTGAGCAGAAGACTCCATATTGTTCTTAAAGGGACATTGGTTGATTATAGACAAGAGCTCTCTCCATTTTCAAATCTAATCCTTGCCATCAGGTTCTGAGGACCCGGAGTGAGCTTACCTGTTTATTGATAGTTGTTCTCGCTTTTGGGGATACAACAGTCACCTCAGATTGGAGGCAATGGATTATTTCTGAAAGCAGGCCTACTAACAGTTACTAGTATTTACTACTGCGCATGCTGTTGCTTTTACTTAAAGTTGATAAAAGTTGATTACATCGCTGTGTTTTTTTTTTATCAAGCTACGTTCAAACTCAGTATAAAGTTCATATTGATTTACACTAACTTGTGTGTGAGTCCATTTTACAGTGGTGACTTATTCTGGTCACTAGAGTTCGGTGGTGTCAGCAGAGGTTGGGCTTACAGAAAGAGGTCCAGATTGACAGGGAACCCAAAAATTACTAAACAACCCTTAAGGGGGGTAGTGCTACACTACCTTTCAACTGCATCCCTACCTAGCCGACACTAGAAGATGTTCCTCTGCTGCAGGCAGAGAGGTGCACGGAAGTTACTTGTAGGTGACATCACTTTGAATAGACAAGTGGGGAGGATGGTGGGGAACAGTGTGCCACAAGAGGACTCACAGCAGCTTCCCTCCACCATTCTGCATGAGACAGAAACTACACTAATACTGTAATGTGCCCCCCCCCCCCTTTTCTGTGTAATGTGCACTGCTCTGCCACCCATTTACTGTGCCATGCTGATCCCGTGCCATGCCCTGCTGACCCCCTGTACAATGTCCTCCTGACCCCTATACTGTGCCTTTCTGACCCTTGAATTGTGCCCTCCTGCCCTTGTGTACAATGCCCTCCTGCCCTCCCCCCTTCCCCCTGTAGACTACCAATCTCAAGTGCAACCCAGAAATTAACATCTGTAAAGAAAAAAATGCAAGCACAAGTCTCACATTAAGGAGGTAAGTTTTAATATGTACTGTATTATTTAATGCTATTTCTAAATATGGAGTTCCCCCGAGATCTCAAGTTTCTTCCAAGGGTTCCTCCGATGTAAAAAGTTGAGAAACCCTGCACTACAATTTTCCCCTTTGATTTTCCTTTGCCAGCTACATAATAGGTTACGTAGGGAGGTGAGAGGAGGTGTGAAGGAGCTTGGCCAGCACAGACAATAATTAGACACTCTGAGATGAGTAGAGGGTTATGATATGCAAGGAGGGAGGGGAGTGTGCTAGGGAAGAGACTAGTCAAATCTTCTAGCAAATATAAAATACCTTTTCTCTGCTATGATCTGAAATTTTCTAAAGCAGTAATAAACCGGACCATAAAAAAAAATTGGCCCCCAGGCAGATTAAGACAGAAAAAGTATAATAGTGCAGTAGGCTTTATAAACATTTTGAATGAACTATGAAAATGTGTATTTCATACAAAGATATTATTAATAATCACATGGGAGGAATGAAAAATCTGGGATTTGACATTTAAAACTATGGTAAAACTATGCGACTTAGGAAGGAAGTGGTTACAAGCTCATTGAAAGACAATGATTGAGATCTGAGAAGAGATCCAAAAACACTTTTTACTGTACAATGTACTTAGTTATCGAGGCTAAACATATTACGTAGTTATGTAACATTTAATAAGGATATTTAGAAACTATTGTCAAATATCCAATATGAGTCATAGCTTATTCATTGGTATCAAAGATCTCCAGCGAAACCTTGCCCTTTGTGACCCCATCAGGGATATCTCCCTCTATTGCTGTGTGAACACTAAGATAGAAAGTGGAAGGGATCTCTTTAATTAACACAAAAACAGCAATAAAAGTACTTAAAGTTGAACTCCAGTAAAAAAAAATGTTTGTTGAGAACACTGCAACAGTCACATAAATGATATCTACTAAAATATATACCATGTTCTTCTGGCTGCTGGTTGCTCCCTTCAGTGACGATGGATACTCCCTACAGTGGTGTTCATTGGTGTTGTGGCGGTTAAGAGCAGTGTTAAATAAATAAATAGACAAAAATATAAAGTCCCATACACCTAAAGTCCAAAGTAAAGTCCAAATGTCCAAAAAAATCTTTGCAAGTGATTTCCCAATAAATCTTTATCCCCGGATCAGAT